GTACTTAATTGCGTCATATCTGAAAGTGTTTTTTTACAAATAACCAACATCATCATTGTTTAAAAACTCAATTTAATTCAAAGAAGTAATCTGCTGCTTTTAAATTTACATCTATTAAAAATATTGAAGTTAAAATCTTTCAGTCCTGAAATAAGATTTACTAAAATGGCCTTTCTTGTAAAAGAAGTTCTTTTTAAAATGGAAGTAATTTCTAGCAGAAGTGATGCTTACAAAATGAAATATATTAAGCTCGAGTTCACGGATAAAGCAATACAGCCACGTTCCGATTTAGAGCACATGTAAAATATTATGGCTACGTATTTAACCCATTCAATCCTGCTTTTTTGAGACAAAGTATTACTAAATATTGTTTATAAGTGTTAGAAGATCTCTTTTGCAACATGTTAACAAGTTCATACTTGCGTTTAAGATGCCTTGGCCACCGTGAACATCAGTTATAAAGGTAAAAATCCATAAAACTATAAATTTAGATTGTAATATTTCTAGCTTTTATTGTACATAGAATTTTTTTAAATTAAAATGTTTTTGTTATGCAAAGCGATTCTTTGCATTTTTCGCACTGTATTCTGGAGCATTCTCTTTAAGTTTTCAGTTTACAAAGTTGTTCGTGTCCATATTTATGCATAGGCCAATATCTATTGTTGTCATATTTATGTACAGTACTGGAATTGCTAATTTTCCAGAAGTGCGGGTCTCTGATTGCGGCATACCTCGTCTTGATGGCGTGTTGCAGAGAAACTGCTGAATGTTTCCCATTTGAGGGCTTTTCTGAAGAAATTAAAATACATGAGCAACAAATAATTTAGGCAAAGTTGACTGAATTACAAAAGATAATTGAGACAAAAGTTGACTGAATTACAAAAGATAATTGAGACAAAAGTTAATTGAATTACCGTATATACCCGCGTATAAGTCGAGATATTTTGGACCCCCCCCCCAAAAAAAAAGAAGGAAAAAAAAGACTTAAAAGTGGGGGGGGTCGACTTATACGCGGGGCCATAAAAAATTAAAATAATCGGAAGTTCAAAAATTTCTTTATATAATGCAGTTGTTTTCTTCCCGCACTCAAATTGGACGACTTATCAGATAAGTCACTTACTTGAAGTAATTTCATGACTTAAATTATGTGACAAACTAATCACAGAATCCCTATGAAATGATTATAAAATCATTTAAAAATTGTTGTATTAGCAACGAACTAGACGGAACGGAAGATGATACTGTTTTTGAAAGTGAAAATGACGACGAAGGCTCTAGTAGTGATTGTAAAAATACAGAGTTCGAGACTGAAAATATGTATGAGGACGAGCCAATGACGACAGAAGAGTTCTATGAAATGTTTGGCGAAATCTGACCATGAATCGGACGTTGAAGGATTTTTATTTTGTTTATTTACTAAGGTATTTTTTATCGTATATTTACTTTCTTTTCTCAGATGATTTTGAATAAATGTAGTACTTAAAAATTGTTTTTCGAAGTTTCTCGATCGATTTCGGAAGTGGGGGGTCGAATATACGCGGGTTTCTTATTTTCTACGAGTTTTTTATGTCGATGTGGGGGGTCGACTTATACGCGGGTATATACGGTACAACAAAGAGTTGCGACACAAAAATGAAGATAATAAATAACTGAGATAAAGTTAATTAAGACACCTCCATTCGCATGAGAGATGGGAGTGTAAAGTATGTTCCATTTGTTTTTCTAGTTGTTTTATTCCAGAAAAAAGATCGTAAGAATACTTGTAATAATGAATGCCTAGCAGTTCTGAAAGTTCATATTGGGATTTTTATTTAGAATCAAACTAAACTCGGTACTATACTTCATTTGCTAAACGCATAAACTTTCATAAAACAGTTGTCTCAATGCAATTTAAAACTGTTGTCTATTCAGTATAAACACGAATTTAGAACACGAAATCAAAGGGAAATACATCTATTCAAAATTATCATTCCATGAAGCATTTCAAAAATCTAAAGATGGTTGTAGAGTTGCGCGCCTCCAACTTGCACGCAACCAAGAGGTGACTGTTGAAACTGGAAAACAGACCGAGTCTTGCTAAGGGTTTAAGTCCCTTTTTATTCAACGTAATAAATTACAAGTGCGTGCTCTTGACGCTCACAAACTACGCCGACCCGGCGGTAAAATAAAAATAAGACCTGAAAAGAAAATAATAACAAGACTCTAAATACGAGGCTCTCTAAAAGTAACTACCCTCACCGCGTTTTACAATACCGCTGCTAATTCAGCAAACTTTGAATATCACGTTGAACAATTAACAATTCTTCTACGCAAGCACACAGGCCGAAACGCGGGGTTCTTCAATTTCTGACTAACTACCTCCGCACTCGTGAAGTAAGAATAGCACACCTCGAACTCGTTTCCTTTCTATTTAACTCAGAATACTTCCGCTGATAATTTGAATCCTTGCGCCTTCTACTAAAATTTACATACTCTGGCATTGGCAGTTCCAGGGGAAAGTAAGGCTTGACAGGAAAGATAGTTTAAACTTAAAATAATTTTAGTTAAAATAAATATAAACCCTACATTTGCCGCTGCCAGAATTTGGAAAACTTGGAAGCAGGTTTTACAAACGACCTGTTGAAAAGTTTCTATAATTCTGAACTAACTCTCAAGAGCCTCGTTTACACACACACACAAAAAAAAAAATCTTATATAACAAATTGTATACTAAATTTCTGTCGATACTTATAAATCTCTCTTCTTACAGCAACTTTTCCTGGACTTCATCAATCAATCTTGTTCTTTTCCTTCCAGCGTCTGGAAGGAATAAGTATCAGTATCTTTCTAAATACATTATAATTTACACTTTCTTGACACTGAATAAATTTTTGTTTTTAAACGATTCGTTTTCCTTAGTTATTGCTTAATTCACATTCATTCAATTTTTCAAGCATTAATTTAACTTTACCCTGGCTCTCCACCATGTGTGGTGTCAAAAGGGAATATTCGTGTTTTAGTCTTACAACACTTCCCCTAACCACCATGATTTGTTAGAATTCAACGACCAAATAGACACACCTTACTCGACATTCTACAACTCGATGAGCTACTTTAACATTCTTAAAAATTCAAGTGTAGATGGAGAACCCTGTTAAGTCCCTCTGAAGCCAGATGGCGCTGCCATCGTTACTGTTTACAAAAAAAAATGTGAATTACTTTTGGAGTTGGCTTCAATGGCGAAGCAGAGAGTGATTGTGGGAGCCTGAGCGTCTCTCAAAAATTAGTATAATAAAGATAAAGATATGTTACAAAGTAGTTTGTAAATTAGTTTAATTGAGAGTTACAGTCCATTTAAAAATCGCCGGACCATTTGAGTGGTCCGTCGAGCCGGAGAGATATCAGCTAAATAAATAATCTAGTGTAAAACAGTGAGTTTGCCATTTTGTTTCAATGGAATTTGTGTTTGTGGATTATAGCCAGTTGCTGAAAGAAAGGGGTAAGTAAAAAACCCTTGAAACTCTATTCATTATTAACTGTTGCATTTAGTAAATTCTGAATTAAAGTTTGTGTGATAATTTGTTATGGATAAGTGTAGCGAAAATGGCTACGAAAAACTGAAAGATGTTCTCACTAAAAAGAGAACTCAAAAAAAACTATCTTATCGAAGTTGCAAAAGAAACTTTGTGAGCCAGATTTAAGTGTTAGTGATTTAGAATTGTTAAAAACTAAATTTAACAATCTGCAAAATGAATTTGATATTATTTTTGATTCTATTATCAATTTAAGTAGTGAAGAAAATATCGAAAAAATCTTCAGTGAGCAAGATGAAATCAATAGTAGTATTATTGATATAGAATTTGAAATAAATAATAGATTGTCGAACGTTGTTAAAGAAAATAAAGTAGAAAATGCAGTAATTTCTGAAAATACTGTTGTGCGTTTACCCAAGATTTCATTACCAATATTTTCAGGAGAAATGCATTCTTGGCTTTCCTTTAAGGAAATTTTTAAAGCGAGTATTGATCAAAACCCAAATTTATCAGATGCTGTAAAATTGCAATATTTGAAATCAGCACTGAAAGGAGATGCTTTTAGAATTATCCAAACGATAGCTATAACGGATAATAAATATAAGTTAGCGTGGTCTCTCCTTGAAGAAAGATACTCGAATCCTAGAGAACAAGTGTATGCTCATCTTAAAAGATTTATGAGTATTCCCGTTATTCAAAACGAGTCAGCTTCTGCGATTCTAAATTTAATTGATGTTACAAGTGAAGTTGTAAGATCGTTAGAATATTTAGAACAAAAAGTTAGATGGGGTTTCATCCGCTATATTTGCCTTTATTCTTAGCCAGAAACTTGATCAGAATACTAAGTTATGGTGGGAAAGGAATTTAAAGACAGAAAAAATACCGAACATTACAGAGTTATTAGAATTTCTAAAGGATCACGCGAGGACATTAAACGCTTCTAGAATTCCAGTAATGTGTAAATCAAAAGCTTCAGTAAGTCAATCAAAGGTTTCTTCAATGGTTTCATGTGTGACTGAAAAACGTGCTTTAATTTGTAAACTGTGTAATGTGGAACATAAATTATTTAAATGCCCTAAATTTCAAAAATTCAGCTTAAAGGATAGAGTCGAGTATGTTAAAAAACACAACTTATGTTTCTGCTGTTTTGGAAATCATGGAGTGAGAAATTGCCCTTCAAATTACTCTTGTAGGCTATGCAGAAAAAAGCACAATTCGTTACTGTGTTATGAGCGAGAAAAAGTTTCGATTTCCCAAAATAGAGAGAGTTGCGAAATCGCCTCTCTGTCGGATCAAAAGTCAGACGCCAGTTCGTCTACGGAAGTAGCGAAGCCATTTATAAATAAGGATAACGAGTGTTTTATGACAGCTAATGTAAATAAAAATTTTAATGCAGTTAATAGAGTCCTACTATCGACAGCGATTGTTTATATTAAGGGAAATGAAGGAGAAATATTTCCAGCCAGAACATTGCTTGACAGTGGAAGTATGATTCATCTTTGTTCATCGGAATTAGCTGAGAAGCTTCATTTGCAGAGAGAAAATGTAAACCTATCAGTAGGATGTTTATCTGGGATTTCAACAACGGTGAAGTCAAAAATAAGTGCGGTTATTTTAAATAAAGGAAACACATACAGTCGTAAACTAGATTTTTTCGTAATTCCGAAAATTACTCATTTGATGCCTTCTAGACAAATTGATGTCTGTAATATTGAGATTCCACAAGGAGTTACGTTAGCTGATCCAGACTTTCACAAACCGGGTAAAATTCAGTTACTTTTAGGATCTGAAATATTTTTCGATTTGATAAGATCCGGGCAAATTTATGTACCAAATACAAATTTAGTGTTACAAAACTCAGCATTTGGGTATTTGGTAAGCGGTAGCATTGAAGATTTACCACATGAGAAACAATTAATGCATTGTGGGTTAATTTATGACAATGTCGAAGCACAGTTGAAGAAGTTTTTTGATTTGGAATCAATTGGTATCAGAGATGATCCCAATTCTTACGATGAAGATAAAGCATTAGAGATATTCAACAAAACTGTTAGTTTCAAAGATGGTCGTTATATTGTTAGTTTGCCTTGGAAGAAAAAACGGGAACATTTAGGCGACAATTTTGGTGTCGCAGAAAAAAGAATAAAAATCCTGATGAGAAAAATGCAGCATGATAATACATTATACCTGAAATATAGAGAAACTTTAGAAGAGTACCTAAATCAAGGGATAATAGAAAGAGTATTAGATTCTACGAAACCAGTAAACAAGCCAGTTTTTTATATGCCGCATCAGGCAGTTTATAGAGAAGAAAGCATTACAACAAAAATGCGTATTGTATTTGATGCGAGCTCACATGAAATAGGTATAGTCTGTCCCTGAATGATTGTTTGTGGCCAGGTATTAATCTGAATCAAAATATATTTCACTTGCTGATATATTTTAGACTTAATAGAGTTGCAATCTTAGGAGATATCGAAAAGGCATTTTTACAGATCGTGTTAGCTGAGAAAGATCGAGATGCAGTTAGATTTTTATTTGTTAAGAATATTGATACACCTTTGCAGAATACCGAGGATCAGCTAGAGGTGTATAGATTTAAGCGTGTGCTCTTTGGTGTTAATTCCAGTCTTTTTTGTTAGCGGCAACTATAAAGCTGCATATCCAAAAGTACAGAAATGTGTATCCCGATACCTTTCAAATTCTTGATACATGTATGTATGTTGATGATCTTGTTACAGGAGCAGATGATGTATCAGAAGCCTTAAAAACTTCAAGGGAAGCAAAGGAAATTATGCGTGGAGCTGGGATGAATCTACGCAAATGGGTGACGAATGATTATCATTTAGCTAAAAAATGGGAAGAAGAAAATTTTGATATTCATCCCCTAAGCTCAAATGAAAAGATACTGAAGGTATTAGGAATTCAATGGAACATTCAGGAAGAGATAGTTTGAGTATAGAGACCTTCTTGTTTGACGAAAATTTCGAGGAGAAAGAAAAGTACCAAACGCTTCATCCTCCAAACAGCTGGAAAAATATATGATCCTCTTGGACTCATCACACCATTCACTGTTAGAATAAAACTTTTACTACAAAAGCTATGGTTACGTAAATTACCATGGGATGAAGAGCTTCCTTCTGATTTGAACGACGAGTGGTCTGAGTGGTGTAGCGAGCTTTCAGAACTTAGTAACATTAGTGTTCCAAGATTTGCTTTGGATTCATGTGATGAAAATATAGAGATCCATGTTTTTTCTGACGCAAGTCAAAAGTTGTATGGTGCAGCCGTTTACGTAAAGGTACAGAATCAAGAAAAAAATTTCTGTGAATTTGCTGGCTTCCAAGAGCAGAGTTTCACTTGTCAAAAAAGTTTCCTTCCCTCGACTTGAATTGCTGGGTGCAGTGATTGCTGCAAGATTGGGAACGGAAGTTAAAAAAGTTTTAGATCGTAAAGGTTCATCTAATATCTTTTTTGGAGTGATTCTAAAGTTACACTGTATTGGATCAAAGGATCAAGCAGGAGATGGAAGTCTTTCGTTCAAAATCGCGTCGACGAGATTCAGAAGTTGACTAATCCAGATTCATGGTTTTATTGTTCAACCAAAGACAATCCAGCCGATCTTCTAACGCGTGGAGTTAGTGCCTCTTCTCTAGTGAACAATTCTAAGTGGTGGACTTGTGCAGAATTTTTTACAGAGCCGCATCTTCCCTACAAGTGCTTACAACCAATAGTTCCAGAGGTTGAGAACCTAACACCAAGTGAAAGGGAGTCCTTTGTGCAAGAAAGCAAAAAGTTCTAGTGACATTAATGACATTTCTGAGAGAACTATGTTGATTGACATGAACTCTAACGTTTTAGACGAACTCTTGAATATTAGTAACAATTATTATAGAATAATTAATGTTCTTTCTTATATTTTTAGGTTTATTTGTAATTGCAGGAAAGGTGAATCAAGAAAGGTAGGCCCTCTTCAACTAGAGGAGGTAAGAATAGCTGAGGAAATGCTTATTAAGCATGAGCAGAAGGTTCTATTTTGTAAAAAGGACATAACAGGTAACTTAAAAAATTTACATCCCTTTGTTGATCGTAAAGGAATAATTCGCGTTGGTGGCCGTCTTGAAAAAGCTTCTTTACCATTTTCTCAGAAATATCCTGCAATCCTACCAAAAAATTCTAAGCTAAGTAAGATTTATTTTTCTAGTGTGCACAGAAGATTATTGCATGTTGGCCCCCAAGGATTATTGAATGCAGTACGTTTAAAATTTTGGCCATTAGGTGGTAGAGATTTGGCGCGAAAAACAGTACATCTTTGTGTGACATGCTTTAAATGCAAACCGATTTTGTCTTCACAGATTATGGGCAAATTTGCCATACGAGAGAGTTAATAGATCACCCCCATTTAGTGTTTCAGGTTTGGATCTATGCGGTCCCTTTTATGTGACTTACAAGCATCAGAGAAAGGGCGTGCTAAATAAAATTTACATTTGTGTATGTATATGTTTTGTGACACGAGCTATTCATCTTGAGCCTTTGTCAGATTTAACTTCTAGTGCTTTAATTGCCACTCTTAAGCGTTTCATGGCCAGACGTGGCAAATGTGCGAAAATATTCACTGATAATGCCCCTAATTTTGTAGGAGCAAATTCTCTGTTGAAGAAATTTTACAATGTAATTAATTTTCCTGATAAAACTTTGGCCTCATATTTCACGTCCGAAAGAATAGACTGGAACTTTATACCTCCCAAGTCCCCTC